CGTTAAAAAGAAAATCAGGCAAAATATATATGTGACCCTGGACCACAAAACCAATCTTAAGTCGCTGGGGTATATTTTTAGCACTAGCCAAAAACACATTGTATGGGTCAAAATTATCGATTTTCTTTTATGCCAAAAATCATTAGGATATTAAGTAAAGATCATGTTCCATGAAGATATTTTGTAAATTTCCTTCTGTAAATATATCAAAACTTAATTTTTGATTAGTAATATGCATTGCTAAGAACTTAATTTGGACAACTTTAAAGGCGATTTTCTCAGTATTTTGATTTTTTTTGCACCCCCAGATTCCAGATTTTCAAATAGTTGTATCTCAGCCATTATTATCCAATCCTAACAAACCATACATCAATGGAAAGCTTATTTATTCAGCTTTCAGATGATGTATAAATCTCAATTTCAAAAAATTGACCCTTATGACGATCAGCGCTATCAGTTAACTGGTACTGAACAGGCACTGAAACCTGAACATCCATGAGAAAGAAAGTGCCGGAATGGTCCAGAATCAGTTCTAAAGACTTTACTGCATTAAAAATGAAATGAAAAATATGAGATCCGCACCTCCTCTTGTGGACTATAAGAATCTCCAGCGCTTAAAATAACCTAGGAATGTAACAAACTTCATAAACTGGCCGACAAATTCCTTTTAGACAGATGTGTGTGTTAGTGTTTAGGGGAGGAGCTGGTGAGAGTGTGTGTGTTTGTCCTGCGTACCTGCATGAAGCTGCACATCACATACTCATCAAACATTGGCAGACTGGGCCTGCTTTCGCGGTATATGTGCAGAGTGTATATCGTCATGACGACGGGTTCAGCCTCTGATTCGTCCATCACCAGAATGTTGATTCTGCTGTTGCCCAGGCCAACCGGGTAGTTTGCCATCCTGAAGGAAACAGAGAAGAGTTCTGAGAAACTCATTGTACTTTATCACATATGCACACACACTCTCGCTTTCACAAACACACACACACATTCCCTTTGCTTTTGGGCTTACTGATATCATGACAGGAGAGGAGGATTACTGTGGATTAAAACTGCCCAGTCAACAGGTGACCCCTCACTCGTGGACAAATAAGGCTGTGCTTTCACAAAACCTTGAGAAAGGAGACAGCCCAGACTGCTCGCAGACAGATCAGTCAACCCTTTGCTTTCTATGTGTAGAAATATTAACAAATGAACACTTGCAGTTGTTATATAAAGTTGTTATTTATGTGATCTAAACCATTATTTTTATGGTATAATCTAATGAAGTCAGGTTGATTCAGTCATTTTAAATAATTCAATATTTTATAATATTTCATAGATTTGTACAGTACAAAATTATAATTTTATGAAATAATCATAATTCAAATATTTTGTTTGGAATAAAATCATTTATTTGAGACATTTTACAAGTTGCCTGACAAAACATTAGGCAAAAAAAAACTGAATGCAGAATAATTGAATTACTGTACAATTTAAGTATTTTAAACAATATTATCTATCTATCTACCCCTTCATCCATCCATGCATCCATCTATCTATCTAATATGACTAACACATACATTATTAATTTTACCTAAAATCTTGTTGAAAATAGTATTCTCTCTCTCTTTGTAAATAAATAATTGTATGAAATAATTATTACAATTAATATATTTGTTCTCGAATAAAACCATTTATTTTAGATGTCAAAACAATTCATAAGTTGATTGAAAAAAAACCTGCATGCAGAATAATTAAATTTTTATAATTTTGTAATTGAATAATATCTATCTATCTATCTATCTATCTATCTATCTACCATTATTAACATTTACATTATTAATTTTACCTAATTTTACTTAGTATATTCTCTCACTAATAATTTAGTGTAATTTTAATCATTTAATTTAATCTCTCACTAACAATAATTTATTTTTCATGGCCATGTTATTTGTTGGCTACTCTTTTTTTTTTTTTTTTATCATAAAATTTCTTTATTAAACACCAAATAAATGCCCAATACTTCAGCCTCCTGTTATAATCTTGGGTCAGGATCAGCTTTAAATATGTAAAAGCTTTTTTTCCCTTCTGTGAGTATTAAAGATTACAGGCTGTAAGAGAGTCTAATAGGCAGTAATCAGGGATTTTAAATGTATGCGTGTGACTCGCCAGGCATGGGAAAGTAAATTCATAAATGAATCTGATAAATCAATCAAATGGTGAAGTGAGCTTGAGCTGACACATAAGAAGCCAGATCTGATTACCAAGAAAAAGGCAGCGACGGCACTACCGTACCGCAGAGCCTTTGTTCATTGTTTCCCAGCTCAAGCTGCTGTGTTTTACAACACTGTTGCATAGCCCATACAGTGAAGTTTTCATGTTTTTGACCACAAAACTTAATCTGTAATGCTAAATTTTAATGCCACAGTATTTAATTCTACAATGTAGCAGCTGAGTTTGTGGTTATGCCCTTTGTGCTTGGTTTACCTGGGCCCAAGATGTTCATCCAGGTGAATGTGGCAATGAGGGCTGACTGGTTCTGGCCGGATACGAATGGTTATCACATCAAACGGAACCTCAGCTCGATATTCCTTCTCCCATGCATTAAACACTGGCATCAGCACCATCGGAGGGTCTGTGTACAACTGCCTCAGGTGGGGATCAACACATCTCCCTTGAAAATAGGAGTAAGGCACATTTAATAGTTGATTAGAATTTTCATATTAAGTAAAACCAGTTGGTGTTTTATAAAAACAAATCAAATGTGTATTTGTAATTCACATAGTCAGGCTAATATGTTACCACATGCTACTTGCCTTTTCTTGACAGCGGGTCTGAAGCCTCTGGGCTCTTTGGGTCATCCAAGCTGTTGGAATTATAGAAAACACAGTCATTTTTAGTAGGAAACTCAGCAAGTGCTCTATAATGGTCTGTTAAACGCAGGTGATTGGAAGCATGGGACGTTAGTAGATTTTTTTCCAGGAATAACAAAAGCGAGCCTTTTATGGCTTTCCCTCCTCTTTTTAACATATAAAAACAATCAGTGCTGGCTTGAAAAAGCATCTTAATTTGTTTGAAAGACAATCAATCAATGAAGTAAGATGCTCAAAGACCGTTATATCATCATGGAACAGAGTTGTGTCCCGGTTTGGATTCCCATCCAGCCAGACAGATGCAGACAATTTACTTCCCACCATCCAGCACACAAACCCAATCATCACAGATAACATCAATATGGCTCAAGGTTTTTTTTGTACAGATTTGTACTTGCCTTGTCTATATTTATACTGGCTCCACAAAACAAAACGAAAAAAAGTTGCTAAAATGTGGCAAAAAATATATTTATATTTTTATTTAACATGAAGTGGCCTTTAGAAGAGGTAAAAGTATTTTTAAATGCAAGAATATCTTAAATTATGTTATGTCTATACTTTTGCAGGGAAATGCAAATGTTTATTTGACTGTAAATAGTTCCAAATGTATTACTATTGGACAGATAGTGTGTAAGAGTGAGAAAATTAAAAACAAAACAAAAGAAATATATAAAAGTAAGACATCATGAGGTTTGGGAGTTATTGTGGGTGGGGAAAAAAAATCTGTAAAAATAAATGTTTTGACTGGACTGCAGGTGACCCAAAGCACCACAGGCTTAAATCAACAGGTCACCATTAAGAATGACTGAATATAAAATAATGATTTGTATGATATTATCTCCAGAATTTTTGCACGCCTGCAGCATAACTCATTTCATCGCTGGAGAAAGAATAAGGTTTGATGATATGATCTGGGGAATCTGCAAATATGTCGTGTTGTGTAAGTATCGTGTAAGTATATGCTTGTGTGTGTGTGTGTAACCTTTCAATCTGATGTTTTCTCGTGTAGTAAAGGCTGAGCTCTTGGAGCAGGGCCATGAGAGCTGGTCTCCATCCATAATCCTGTGCGCTGAGGGACTCTGTCTGGATTAGATCATGCTGAGGATCGTCAGGAAGAGGACATGTAGGGTAGAGCTGCCAACACACACACACACACTCGATTTATTTAACAGACAAAAATGCACAAGGACATACAGGTTTATCATGTGATAATTTTACATGGAAATAGCCTTTAAACAAGTCTGATTTAATGTTACATTAAATCCAATTCAATTACACTTGTGCCTGTTAGTCCATATTAATAAGCTTTGAAGTCATCAATATGCTATAGCTAATACGAGTATCTTTCAAAGTGCATAAAATGTGTCTTTACCAGCTGAAAGGGTCCTGGTCTCTTGAGGTGCTGATTAAACTGTTGCAATAAATGCATCTCATCTGGAGGCAGACACAGAGCGTTTGGCCCTTCACAGTCACTGTACTGCATGACAAGTTCAAATAATTAGACCACAACAATGAACACTATTGATATACTTGAAAAAACGACTGCATTTTACAAAGCAACAAAAATGAAAAGGAACAAAAATACAAATTGACTTTGTAAAGTATGGGAAACGATAAAACCATTTAAAAAAAATTTTTTTTTAATTTTTTTTTGTTGACTGAAATGAATTGTCTATATTTTCACTGGCTCCACAAACAAATAAATAAATAAAAATATTTAAATGTAAAAAATAAATATATATTTATATTTTCATTTTAACATCAAGTTTTCTTTAGGAAAAAAGTCACATTTAGAAATGCAAGAATATCTGAAATTATGCTATTCTGACATTTCGTTTTGCAGGAAAATGCAAATGTTTATTTGACAGCAATCCATTTGATTGTAAATCAAAATGTATTATTATCATTATTTTATTATTATTAATAATAATAATAATAATAATAATAATGACTAAAAGAGAATAATCACCCGGTAGGTCTTTTTTTTTTTTCCAGGTTTCTTAACGGAGACAAATATTGTATGAGAGTGAAAGAAACATGCATGGATTTATGAAATTTGTTCTGCTCATGTTTCATGAAATCTGCTCATGTTTTCTATTGAAATAGAAATTAAATGAAATTACAGCAGTCACATCAGTGTCCTAAAAAAAAGCTGTTTTATTTTACATGGTGCAAGTTGCTTCATGGGGCAAACATGTTAAGATCAGACTAGCCGAAAACAAACTTTATCTCATTAAAACTTGTCATTTGACATTTCTCCATATTTATACAATAGCTTCAGTAACTGAAAAATTTTTGCATGCGTCCTTTCAAGAAAAAAAATACTTCCATTATGTCCTTTAAAAAAATAATAACAGTAATAATTAATGAAAAATTGTGTTAATTAGTTCACTTGCATATGGTAATACCAGGAAAAACTGAAGCGAGTTTTACCTTTTGGTTCTCTTCCTTTGTTCTAAATGGCAAACTAGGCTCCACAGCCTCGCTGCTGCATGCTGGGAAAAGCAGTTTCAACACATCCTCCAGCATATACTCTTTGGCTATCTGTCCGTCAAAGTGAGGGTCCTTCATTCCGTCAAAGTGTAGATCAGTCTGAAGCTGAGACAGAAAGCGAGCAGACAAATAATAAATGTGAATGTGTATTAATATGCTGCCATCTAGTGGTCAAATTGAGAGCTTGCATGGGAGATCATCTACTGTACAGTTGTGTGTAATTTTTCAACATCTATCCTCATCAAACAAAATTCAAAGTGGGTGTTTATCCTTACCTTCACCACTACCGGATGAAGAGAAGAGTTATAGTGCAATGAGAAGGTCATTAACTGAAAACACAGCTGACACCTATAAGAAACAACACAGAAAAACTAAATTTGACAAATTCACTGATCAAAACGCATGCATACCATATAATTACAATTCGCCCCAAAATTAATAATAATAATAATAATAATAATGGCTTTTTTTAAAAATTTAAAAATATTAATTAATTTAATTTAATTTAAAAAAAAAAAGTTCTTAATTTCACAAAACTTCATCAGGTTTAAATATGTTTAAAAACTTCGTATAATACACTCTTTAAAAATGGACTTTCTTTTATCCTTTTAAAAATTTGGACATTTTCTGGTTGAATTGTGTGTTTTTGACCTGGACGAGGAGCTGCTGTCCTTTGTGGTTAATAAAGCAGCTTTCAGGATGTCACTGATGACGTGATTCATGTGTTCAATGGCCTTATGAGAGAGAACAGGACCCAGTCTTTCTCTAAAGAATACCTGCAACTGAAAGAGAGGAGTCTAAATCAGTCTGACGCAGTACATAAACTAAAAGCTGAGAGGCAAACAGAGATCTCATTACTTCATCATTCAGCCTCTCTAAACAGATTAAGCAGAACACTGCAATTTCAACACCAGCAATACTGTTCATCAATACTGATTTAACAATGGCAGACATTCATACCTCTACAGCTGCAGATACAGCAACTAAGACAAAAACTCTCCCACATGGACAAGAGATTTATCCTTTTTAACTCGATAACCACACAAACCATACTGAGACTTGTTGACAGTTAAAGGGTCATTTAAAACTTCATTTTAAAATGTTAATTTCTGGGTGAAACACTTATATAGCTCCTATAACGCAATTATTTTGAAGTCAAAAACTGTCAATTTACCAATTCGGCTTATGTCATGTTAATAATTTTGCATAGTGTGTGGCCTATGTAGCTAATAGCAACTTTAATACATCTCAGTGTTTGATTTCAAGAATGTTTGTGAGTACTAAAAATATTAGTATGTATTTTATTAACTTTATGAGTGATTTGCACACATACTAGTATCAACACATTAAGTCCTGACAGAGAAACCTTTCCAAGCGTGATGACAGAGCACAGCCATTAGAGGGCAGTAGAAGAACAATAGTCTATTACTACAGTCAACGGATAATAAATCATGAACCTCAATTGATTTGTACATATGGTTCAAAAACAAAAAATGGCTTTTCAAACACCATCAATGAAATTTTAATGCAGCTTTATTTTTCATATATTAGAATGTGCCCCGTTTTATTTTTCTCTGAGCAAAAAATAATGACTAACATATATTTTTACCATGATTTACAGAAAAAATATCATTCAGTGTAACAGTAGTTTGCACCAAAAAATCTTGTCAAGAATATTTAGAACAAAAATCATTAGATGACATTAAAATACTATTTAAGAATCACAGTGCTGCCCTAAAATACTAATTCATTGTCATTTTAAATATTTTCCCTTCTTTGCCTAGGTTTTACCTACTAGTCAGCAAGAAGTTTTTAATCATTTAAAATATAATAAAATTCAGTATTATCACTTATTCTTTTATATATTTTAGTAAGTGCAGGCCAGAATGAGTACGTTGTTTCATTTGTACATATATGCATTCTGTGTATATAAAATCACTTTTGTGAATTAATTTGATGTGTTCACCAAAACGGGATGTCTTATCTTTGACCCATATATAGATTTAGCTGTATTATACAGCTTTATTTTTTTTTTTACTTCTAATGAGGATGTCACCAAAGGGAAGTTTTGTCACAAGGACACACACTGTTGCACACAAGTGGTCCAACACTAAGTTTTGCATAAGATAGGCTAGTGCTCTATATCATACTCGCACACCAAGAACCAGAGGGGAATGAGCAGACTTTTATGAAGACTTTATTGTGATCTGCTTGTTTGTCAGGGCTCTTTTATCAACTCTTGAAACTCAGTAAACATGATCTGGGTTTTATTAGATCTCAATGTGCCCTCCAGCTGTTTACAGGACTCTGACTGAAGCCTCTTCAGTAATCTGGCATTACACACACACACACAGAGAGAGAGAGCGTTAAACTGCAATGAGAGCGGTGTTTGGCAGCCTTGGAGGCCTAATAAACATCACATGGGGAATCAATGCCTAGCCAAGCCTTTATCATCAGTAAACGGCAGCACAGGGATCCGAACTGCAATATTAAGACTGAAATCTGATCTGATTTAAAAATATAAAGCTTATTGAAATAGCTAAAAGGCACCTAATAATCATTTCTAAGCTCATTTGAGTATTGAGACGCAGATATTGTTTTATTTTAACTGTAATCATTTTACAGCTTTCACTTCAAGGAGAATGCTTTCTTACCTCGGTGGCATAACTAGTTTTATCCAAGTGGGGTTTGACCAAGGCTGTGCGGTGGACAAAAGCGGTCAGCGGTGTTGCCGAAGTAACCAAGACGTATACGTTTATGGTGGCATTCATGCTCTGAATGTCCGAATAGCTGAGTGTGATTGGCCGCCTCCTGTAGGATACAATCACAATAACGCTGAAAAGAAAATTGACATTGTAACATTTTTGGTTGGCCATTTCCTTCAGATGTGACATGACTTACCACTCATCTTCAGCAGCATTTGGGGTTCCCTCTTGTGGAGATGTGGAAAAAGCGCAGGCAGAAGGACGTATTGGTAATGTCACTCCTGAGATGGAAAACAGACGGGAGAAGTGGATAGAGTCTGAGTTCTGGCACACTGATTTCCTCTGTGAGGAAGACACACAGCACATGTATCGACATGAAGGCCAAAGCTACTTCAATTCTTTCCACAAAGACCTGCAGACATGTGTCTAGAGATACCACGTTATTAAATCATTGCGTCTGGCCACATTTCTCACATGCAGGCTTTGCTTCTGTGATACGTAAACTGCAGCTCTGTTCTAAAACATAGTGAGCTGCCTTACTCCTAACTGTTTACATAGGTAACAGCCATGTAACCTCATAAGTCTACATAGGCAATAACTCTGCAACACAAATGTGAAGCACACAAGAGACTAATCACAAATAATTTCAATAGAATTTGATGCTAAGCTAACCGCATGTTAATCTTAACATACAAATACACAGCACACACAAATATTAGGTCAAAAAAGTTCAGGTTTATTCGCAATTTACAATTTTCTTGATTGGTCTGCCATGTTGGAATGACTTTCATTCTGGGACTACATTTCGCCATCAAGTTGTGCAGTTCTGCCTCAGAATTTGATTAAAACAAGGTTGATTTTTAAATGTTTTTGAAAAAAAAAAGTCTCTTATGCTCACCAATGCTGCATTTATTTGATCAAAATATGGTGAAAACGATATTGTGAAAGATTATTACAATTTAAATACCTGTTTTCTTTAATATATCTTAAAATATAATTTAATCCTGTGATGGCAAAGCTGAACTTTAAGCAGTCAAAAAACGATGGGTCACATAACATTTAGTCATTCTCTGGGTTTGTATTTCTGTGGCATTGCACAAGGTAGCTACCATGGCTAGACCCAGATCACTATTTGTGATTAGGATCACCTGATTACAATTATAACTTAATTCAAGACGAACAGAAGTCAATTCCAGTCACCATTTAATCAGAAACACACACATATGTCTCTCCCGCCTCAGAGAAAGGATGTCACCACACCATACAACTCAAGCAATACTTAATACTCTCAAACATGTCTATAGTACACATCTCCAAACCTCGTTCAGTTAAACCACATGCCACACCAGCATTGGGCCCCATTTCAAACCCCAATGAAACACTTGGAAAAACATCAAGATCTCCGTAACCCACGCTTCTGCCAAAGTCCCGGTCACTGACTCCCTACCCAAGTGTGTGAGCTATGCAGAGTTTACATTCAACTTGGTCACTGACCCGTCCATGTTATGTGTATATTTGTGCACTCTACAGTACGCTTGCCTTCAGATACCATTATAAGAGGACACAACCTGGCCTAGCCAAACCCCAAACACCAGGACTCAATCGTTTGTGTTTCTGTGGGCGTCAGGCCAACAGGAAGGACAATATTGTTTCAGAGTCGGAGACAAAGCCTCCTTTTCTGAAGCTGGGTGGTCTTGATGCCGCAGGGGCAGCGGGTGAAAAATCGGTCATTATTGTCACAGAAAGTAGGCACTGTTATCCTCCTCCTCTGAGGTCTTTCAGAAGTGATGATCATAATTGGTTCAAAGCAGTAAAATTAAGCATGATCAAGTTCAAAGAGCTTTGTAATGCAGCGTTCTGACATATAAGAAAAAAGCGACTTTCTGAAGAAGCAATAACTCACTATGGCTGTTATTAAATGGCATTTATGATGTGCACTTGCCTTTTAATATTCCTGCAGCAGAGAGTTACTCATGGTAAATATCACCCTTGACACTGACCTTTATAAGTAATTACAGAGACAAGCTTAAAACACTCAAATACACACCTGACAGAAGTGCGTCACAGACACACACTGCATTGTAGGAGACGTCAGGTAAATTGAGACTGGACTTTTTTTAACGATGCTTTATTACAAAGGATTCTAACAAAAGGAATTTTTAAGAAATGTTTTTGTTAATCTAATGAAATCCAGTGGCGTCCAAAGCGGTTGTTTTGGATCTAGTGCTGTTATTGTTAACTAAAACTAAAACTATTAAAAATCATTTTTGGTAATTGAAATAAAGAAAACTGAGAAGATAAAAATAAAAGCTAATTCAAAATATTAATATAAATAATACTACAATAACACTGTTTGGACCCCATTGACTTTCATTATAAAGACAAAAACAGTTAAAAAATATCTTCCTTTGTGTTCCACAGATGAAAGAAATTCATACAAGTTTGGAACCACATGAAGGCGAATAAATGATGACAGAAACCTCATTTTTATGAGAAATATCCCATCCGATTTTTTGCACAAAAGTAAATTTCTTGCAACATACTTGAAATATAGTGCACATTCTATGGGCTATTGTGATTTTATTAAGCTTTTTCATTGTACAGAAAAGAGCAGCGTGAACATTCTGTAAAACATCTCCTTTTTTTATCCACGGAACAAAGTCATTCGAAACTGAAATGAAAAAAAATGTTGTGGCTGCAAAATTACATTACTGTCTCAGTATCTGTGTTAAAGAAGTGCTTAGAACATTGCTGCTCACCTGACAACTGGCTGTCCGTCAGAAACCGGCAGACTCCGCCCATGTCCAGAAACACTCCTGCAAAGGCTGGTATTATGTTAACCTGTGTGGAGATTTGGAGATCAGAGGTCAGAGTTTAACCAAGACCACCATAACGGATAGTTTAAAAACATTTAAAACAGTTAGCCTTCGGTAATGCCTTAAAGGGGTCATATGATGTTTTTTTAAAGATCATTATTTTGTGTATTTGGTGTAACAGAATATGTTGACATGCTTTAATGTTCAAAAAACACATTATTTTTCAAATACTGTACATTATTGTAGGTCCTCTATGCCCCACCTCTCTCAAACGCTTCGTTTTCTACAAAGTCCCTCCTTCCGACAAGCGCAGTCTGCTCTGATTGGCCAGCTGACCCAGTGCATTGTGATTGGCCGAACACCGCAAGCACTCGTCGGAAATGTAATGCCCCTTACCATAATCGCGAGCTTCATCTTTCAAAATAAATGTAAAGACAGTAAATAATGTCATTAGTTTTACCATCAGTTCAAGCCC